TTTAAAGATCCCTAATCCTAACACTAACACGAACCCTAACCGCTAACCAGCTAACCCGAACCCTAACAGCTAACCACTAACCTACCCGAACCTAACCAACCCAAACCTAACCAGCCTCGCAAGCTCGGCGGGAGGCTTGATGCAAATCATTTTCTTGACACCTTCCTTTTTTGCATAGCAACTGCCTAGCAACGGGCCCAATGCTGGCTTAGCGGTTTTGATATATCACGGCCCTCCGATGATTAGCGGCCGTGATATATCAAGACCCCATACTAAGGTGGCAGGAGATCAGGTACATCGTCAAACCGGATAAAAACTCCAGTGGGTACCCGTCCTTCAAGCCCGTACATCTCGATGGTCTTCCAAATCTCTGCTGCCATATTTTCTCCAGAGTGTTCGCCAACGAGTTCACGGAAATCAATCAGCAACTCCTCTACAACGGATATTAGGAAATAACCAGCTGAATTTTCCAACCAAGACTTGCCAAGATTTCCATCGTTCGTGATGTAGTGCGCAACGAGCGCAAGAAACGGGTGTTGATTGCTGGAGGTCCACGCATCGCACGAGATGCTGACTTTGGAATCGAGCTCCTGTAGTGTAATAATTAGCATGTGGGTGATACACCGAACCAGAGGCACGTACTGCGAACATCTTACGTGTTCCCTCAATGCTATCTTCTCCCATCTTCATGATCCTTGAACGAATGGCGCCACGCCCGGGCATCTTGAAGTTCAGGGTGGATCCGTGGTGCGTGTACTCCATAAGACGAATGAATTCGGGCTTCTCCACTTCGTCAAAGGGCTGGTCGCAAGCGACGATCCACTCCGCGAGATAAGTGTCGAATACTGCCTGGTCGAAGTCACCCTACATAGAAGATTCAGATTCAGAGCGCACACAATTTGATTATTAAACACCTGAGCCTTTCTGGCCTGCTTCTCCAATCCCTTGATGATGCTGGAGGTCGCCATCTCAACCTTACCCAGGTACTCTTTCGCAGCAGCACTATCAATAGGGATGGAGCCTTGCGCAAGCATCACCTGGTCCTCGGTCGGGGGCGTTGTCTGAGTATGCAGCGCGGAGTAGAGACGATGCATGACTGGGAAGTGGTTCTTCAAGTGGCGGATAAGCTCTAAGAAAGAGCCATGGTAAGCACTGGATCATGGCGAAGGATGGAGACGTTACTGCTCAGGTTGGAGCGTGCAGCCCTCGAAATGGTGATGATCTCACGACGCCCGTGGAAGCATTTATAATGTTTGTCCCCCGGAGAGCCAGCGTAGCCAACAGCATTTTTGGGGACGACCTCATAGAAGAGGTAGATGGGATTCTTGGTCTAAATGTGAAGTCAGAAATATTGAAAGAGCCAGAAGAAGGAAGGATGACTTACAACTGTAGCCTTCGTCGGGGTATCACCCTCATCCTGGACTTCCTCGACGGTCGCGCGGTTGGTCTTCTTGGCGGCGGGGGCACTCGCGGAGTCAGTGGTCTGCTTGCGCTTGCTAGCGGATGTTGCAGTACTCGTCTTCCCCCGAGTCCGAGGATTGCCCGCGGTGGATTTCGAACGACCAGGGACAGTTTTACTGGGAAGAATCGAGGCGATCTTCCATGAAAGAAAATGAGCAACTCTCTGAAAAAATGATTGAATGCGCACCTCGTCGTTGTCCACAGCCATCTCGCTCTCGCTGTCACTATCCTCGGAGTCGGAGGCATCAATGAGGTCAGGATAATCTTCATCTTCCTCGTCGCTGGGAGACTCGGGTACAGCTTTGACGCGGGTGGACTTTTTGGTGGTCACGCGAGCGCGGCGGGGAGCCTCGATGAAAGGATTTCCATCGTCGTCGGCCTTCTGATCCGCAAGGGACTGGGCGAGCTTGTCAGTTTCCCTCTTGCGGTTACCGCGACGAAGTTCTGCCATCTGTCAGCACTTCACTCTCGTCAAAGACTGTCATGAATACTCACCGCCGCCGCCCGATGTTGCAGGCAAGGCCTTGGTGTCAGACTCGGACGCGTAGAATTCGATGTCGTCGGCTTCGCGCAGGTTCCCGTTTGCATCGAGGGCACATTGGTCAGACATCGTTGGAAAAAGATGTTGAAAATCTGGCTAGTTCACCCGCAGCATTTATTGGTAGGCCTCGGTTCCACAGCCGCAGAAATCATAAGCAAAAATTATCAAAAGCTGCGCGGCGGCACGGAAAGGCAGGAGAAATCGACAGTAGGGTGGGGTGAAATTTGCAAAATAATCCATGCGCAGGTGGTGCGCGCTCTGATCTATCTTCTTGGCAATCACAGTCAGGTCTCTGAGGCTACAGTGAGGTGCTTAGAGGGAGCAAGAAACATTTTCCCATGGCAGCAGAGGTCCTCAACGCGTCGAACGCGTCGTTCCACAGGCTAACGCGCGACTATGTACACAGTAGAAAAGAGCAAAGATTGACGCCGGAGTTACGTACCGAGCGCTTCCGCCGAATCATGATTGCCGGTCGCATTGATCTGATAGCTCAGATGGCATGTCTTATCTAGCAATCTAGGCTCTACGGACAAACCCGGTGGCCGTTTTCTGACCGTCGACGGCCGTCATTTCGACGGCCGTCATCCCAGAAAACCGTTCCGTCGCCGTCCCGTAGAAAATAAAGTTCAACGCCCGACGGAACGGGACGGCTACCCGTCGCACGGGACCCGTAGAACCGTCGCGACGGGCGCGGTGAACAGCCCTATGTCGTATCGCATAAGAAATGAGGTGCGAGTTGCGCAGAGTGATCATTTGACTTGGTGAGACCACGCGCCGTAGGAGAGCACCCAGTTAACGTCTCATAAACGCTTCATTCGGCCACGGAGGACAGAGGCCAGAGAGGAAGGGTAGAAAGTGAGGAAGAAGGCACGGTCACGTAGCTTGTAAATACATGCAAACCGATCAACCTTCGCCCGATGCGTTCCCTTGACGCGCTTGTTGTCTACCCTGACCCGGCAATGATGAAGATTCTCGCCGAGACGTCCAGGCTTCATCTTGCTAGCCTCAACTCGACCGCGACTCCGTCTGTAGATCTGTCAGCTTTCAACGCTACCTGCTCGAGATATAATATGTTGGAAGGTCTGCCCATTGCACGTGGGTTCCCTCGTTCGGATCGAGGTCAGGCTATTAGTAGTCTCTCCTAAACAGACGCTTCAACATACGCAGCTCGTACCTCGCTTGTTGAAGTCTGTTAGTTACCGCGGGGGTCCGAAGATCGGAGTTTGAATTTCGATACATTTCGGTTGCAAGCCGCCCAATCTCATGTTGGGCACTCAGAATACATGTGGAATAGTTCTTCTCTCTGTGGAAGGCTTCTAGGATTTTCTCCCCATTTTCCGTGCCCCGAATCTCGACTTTGTATGTTTTTCACCCGAGGTCACATGTCATATTCAGTGATTTTCTCCCGCTCGTTTTATAAACTCTACTCGGATTCTGAAGAAGCAAAATAGCATACACTGGTCCCAAGGCTCGTGCTACACCAAAACTCCATGGAAAAACGCGGCTGGAATGGATCCAGCTTCGCGCTAGGAATTCAAACTCCGATGATTCGTAATAACGGCCTAACCTGATCGGACCCCCGCGGTAACAACAGGACTAGGCTATTGGTTAGCAGGAATTTTCTTTGGAAAAAATGCTGAGCACCTGTCTAGATTGTGGGATAGGCAGATACACTTTGAGGGATGTAAAGCTTGCTGGCGGATGGTCCGCGCCCACATCTTATAATCTCAAAAGAGTATGCAAATGGGGTCCCTTGTTCAATTCGGGGACAGGCTATAGGATAAGTGCGTGCATCTGTTTTTATCATTTGAAGAATGGATTTTGACTGCCTAGCTTGTGGGATGACCTAGTTCCTTGTAGAGGGATAGAAAGCCTGGTGGCGGATGGTCCGCACCCACACCTCATAAACAGATCGCAAGTGAGAATGCAAGTGGGGGTTCCTCGTTCGAATCGGGGTCAGGCTGTGTGTTTGCTGCTCGGTACTCTTTTTTCAATTGAAAAATGAATCCTGACACCATAGATTGCGGGATCGCCAGGTACATTTCAAGGGTAGAAAAAACCTGGCGGCAGATGGTCTGTGCCCACATCTAGTTGATGATCTTGCATGTTCAAGTGGGGTCCCTCATTCGAATTGGGGCCAGGCTGTGCTTTGCTGCTTGGTACATTGGTTTTTTTACTTGAAAAATGAATCCTGGCCCCGTAGATTGCGGGATAACCTAGTTCCTTGTAGAGGGATGTAAAGCCTGGTAGCGGATGATCCGCACCCACATCTCATATGTTATATTTAACCCAGCATGATTTAAGTGGGGGCTCCCTCGTTCAAATTGGGGACAGGCTATGTTCAGCTCAAAAAATCAATTTTTGTTGATTTGATTGAGACAACAAGGCCGAGAAGACTCCGAGATACCCAAGACAGTTCAGCCTGAAATAAAGCTTGGTGGCGGATGGTCCGCACCCACACCTAATAGCATTTGATGAAGCCGAAAATTGCAAGTGGGGTCCCTCGTTCGAATCGAGGTCAGGCTGTGAGTACTTGGCAGCACATCTTTTTCTTTTGATAGATGAATTTAGACACCATGGACTGTAGGATAAACAGGTACAGTTCTTAGGAAGAGAAAGCCAGGTGGCGGATGGTTTGCACCCACATCTAATAGACAAAGGCTGACATATGTAAGTGGGGGTTCCTCGTTCGAATCGGGGTCAGGCTATGGAGGTCTTCAAGGCTGTTTTGTTGGGGAGAAATACAAGATGTTGGTTACTATGTACTTGAATACATTTCTATACAATCAAGTAGGGATGTAAAGCCTGGTGGCGGATGGTCCGTACCCACAACCCGTAAAGAGAAAGTGATGGGGATGGTTATGCAAGTGAGGTTCCCTCGTTCGAATCGGGGTCAGGCTATTATTTGGGGCAATTTTTTTTTATTTGAAAAAAAATGAATTTGGACACCGACAACCGTATAGTGTAGGATAAGCAGATATGTTTCAAAGATATAGAAAGCCTGGTGGCGGATGGTCTGCGCCCACACCTAATATCATTTGATGAAGCCGGAAAATGCAAGTGGGGTCCCTCGTTCGAATCGGGGTCAGGCTGTGGTGAAAGTCCATTGTATTTTTTCTTTCTTTTTTATGGCACTATTGTTGACTGCTAAAATTCATTTTGTAGATAGCCAGGTACAGTTTAGAGGTATAGAAAGCCTGGTGGTGGATGGTCAAACCCACATCTAATGTCGGTGTTGCGATGTGTAAGTGGGGTTCCCTCGTTCGAATCGGGGCCAGGCTATAATGAGATTGAAACATTGGTTTTTGTTTGTTTGATTGAGACAACAAGGCAAGAAGACTCCCAGACACCCAAGAACAGTTCAGAGTGAAATACAGCCTGGTGGCGGATGGTCCGCACCCACATCTAATGCAGCGTCGGATCTGTTTCCACGTGGGTTCCCCCGTTCGAATTGGGACAGGCTATCAATGTTGTTCAGTGCTTTTTTTCTTTCTTTTTTTACAGTCACGGCAAAAATTGTTGCCCTTACCAAATTTGGAAATTTTGTGATGGCTTGCAATAAATGGGTGGTAGGCCTGCTATTAAATAGCTTTTGGGTAGAAGGTTGTCTATATGGTCTATATGAGTAAAAATTCATGTGGTTTGGCTGCGTACAATCCTGGAAATTGCTGCCCTGCTGTGATTTGGTAATACCTTAATGGCTCATGTCATTATGCATCCAAGGCCAAGTCTTTGGCAAAGTAACATATATTTTGAATCATATATAACATCAGAAAACTCCTCTGGCCAGGGATTGACAAGTAGTGGTCATTTATTGTGAGCCATCACAAAATTTCCAAATTTAGTAAGGGCAACAATTTTTGCCGTGACTGTATGGCACTGCTGTTGACTGATAAAATTCATTTTGTGGATAGCCAGGTACAGTTTAGAGGTAGACAAAGCCTGGTGGCAGATGGTCCGCACCCACATCTAATAGACAATGGTTGACATGTGTAAGTAGGGGTCCCTCGTTCGAATCGGGGTCAGGCTACATCTGGAAACACCTTTTGAGCACGTAGAGGCCGGGTCCGCGCGGTAGACAGCCGGTCATGAGGTAGCCCCGGGTAGAGCCGAGGTTTCTCGGTAGAGCACTGTAGACGGCGTCGCGCAACCGTAGAGGTGCGCTCTGTAACGCGCATTCACGGAGCCCAGTAGCTGCCCGTAGCGACTCTGTTTCACATACATCATCAGAAGCACATGCGCAGCTGATGGTGCCTGGCTGGACTTGACGAAAACTCAATGAGTCGACGCCGCCATCACCCACTCTTTCTTCCCCTCCCCATCATCTCCGCTTCCACTCCGAGTCATCCCTTCTTATCTACCTGTAAATCTCCCGGAGTACATGCTGCAATCTCAAGCCTGGGCTGCCTGGATACGCTCACGCAACCTTCAAGTCATCTCAAGTCTTCAATGCCCTCGAAATCTTGGCCCTCAATCTTCCCAAGCCGCTCTCAAGTCCCTAGGTTCACCTTGCAGCTGCGTTCTGATGCTCGCTCCGTTGTCAACCTTCTGTGATTAGTTGTCACCGCCAGATCATTTCCGCGTGTGGTATGGCGCTTTCGCATGTGCGTGTTTTTTTCACAACTCAAAGGGTAGCATAAATCATCAGGTGTGATTTTCTGCATGTTTTCCTCCCTCATTACTGACTACATTGGTTCTAGTTCTTATGGCGTGTCTTTCACTGGTCGTCTCATTCCGCACCCGATGCCGGATGGGATCGTTCGACTCCCTTATATACCTTTCCCCATACACTGTTTGAGTAGCTGCTAGAATTTATGGTTTCTCCCCATCTCGCTTTCAATATTCCAATTGATTCGGAACAATATCAGCCAAGCGAACACGTTTTGCCGAGGTCTGGCATAGAAACACGTGTGCTACATAGCTCTACCGCTCTACCATATTTCGTCTATGAGCTCTATTATATAGGGGACATGGCTACACATCTACTGCTCTACTAACCTCTCTATAGCACCCTGTAGCCGTGTGCGATTCCCAGATGTATGGAGGTCTTCAAAGCTATTTTTTGGGGGAGAAAGACAAGACACTGGTTACTCTGTCCTTGGATACATTTCCACACAATCAAGTGTATTGTAGAGGGATGTGAAGCCTGGTGGCAAATGATCTGCACCCACACCTAATAGCATTTTGAGGAAGTCACAATGCAAGTGGGGTCCCCCGCTCAAATCGGGGGCAGGGTATGAAGATCTTCGAAGACTATTTTTTTTGGGAGACAGACAAGATAATGGTTCCATACTACTTGAATACATTTCTACACAATATCAATCAAGTGCATTATATAGGTAGATAAAGCCTGGTGGCGGATGGTCCGCACTCACATCTCATGTAGTTGTAACAATAGAGTGAGTAGGTGGGCTCCCTCGTTCGAATCGGGGTCAGGCTATGGTGAAAATCCATTGCATTTTTTCTTTCTTTTTTATGGCACTGCTGTTGACTGATAAAATTCATTTTGTGGATAGCCAGGTACAGTTTAGAGGTATAGAAAGCCTGGTGGCGGATGGTCCCCACCCACATATAATAGAACAGTCGACATGTGTAAATGGGGGTCCCTCGTTCGAATCGGGGTCAGGCTATGGGCCGATATTGCGAATCTTTTTATTCAAAAATGAAAATGATCAACTGTCTACATTGGAGGATAGGCAGGTACACTTTGCAGGTATAGAAGCCTGGTGGCGGATGGTCCGCACCCACATCTCATAGATAGGGTTGCGATGTGTAATTGGGTTCCCTCGTTCAAATCTGGGTCAGGCTATGGTCATCATTGCTGTCGTTTTTCCTCTTTTTGATGGCACTGTTGTTGACTGATAAAATTCATTTTGTGGATAGCCAGGTACATTTCAGAGGGATGTAAAGCCTGGTGGCGGATGGTCTGCACCCATATATTGTGAGTAACCATAGCATGATTCAAGTGGGGTTCCCTCGTTCGAATCGGGGTCAGGCCATGAGATATTTGATGGCATTTTTTCTTTCTTCTTTATTGCACAGGCTGTTGTTGATAAGATCCATTTTGTGCATTATCAAGCATGCTTCAGAGGTGTAGAAAGCCTGGTGGCGGATGGTCCGCACCCACATCTAATGTCGGCGTTTGGATATACATTCACGTGGGTTCCCTCGTTCGAATCGAGGTCTGGCTATGATCCAGCCATTCGTTGGCTACCATTTTTCTCCTCCGCCAAAAACGCCCGCCGGCGACTCAACAATCACGCGGTCCGTGATGGGACGCACATGGGCCCCGCGGAGGCCGCGATAAGCACGCTGTGGGTCGGAGGTAAAAGACGGGGACCGAGAGGGTCAAACGACTACATAAAACGCGGAACAGGGGAGATGGGCGGGCGCTGATGGGGACCCGCGAGGACGACCGAAGTGTGGAGATGACAGAAATGAAGTGGGGTGGGACGATACCCACAGTCGATCCATTGGAAGTGTCTAATAGGTGCAGGGTATGCAGGGTTTAGTAGAGGAAGCCTGGGGAGATAAGGCCACATGGTCCGTGCGCATCAGAAAAAGACGTGTGATGATGGAAGGGATGTGCGCTCTTTTCGTTATTGAGCCTTGACGTGTCTTGTAGGGCTTTTTCGTTCGTTGTTGTTCTCTTCCTTCTCCCTTTTGTGCGTGTCTTTTCTTGCACCCCACACTCGTTTCAAGGCGCCCCAACAACACACTCGCTACCTTTCGACGTTATTCTAACGTTTTCTTCCTGCTCCCTTCCTTCGTACCTACTTTTCATCCGATGGACGACTCCCAGGCCGCCTTTGCGCAGCCCTACCCGCCGTACTCGTTTGATATCGACATGATGAAGGTCGGTCTCAATATTCCCTTGTTGCTATGTGATACCGGTCTCACTCCTCTCCTCCTACCACAGCGCTCCATGGACCCTGCAGCCGGCCCCGACTCAAAAAAGGCCCGCTGGTCTCCCACCTCGGGTGCACCCGCGACCGGCACAGCGCCCGGCGGCTCCCCCCGCGATGTGTATGCAAACTACGGCTACGGTGGCCAAGCACAGGCCTCGTTCCAGCAGCAGGCACCCGCTCAGGGATTCAACGGCTCCCCGCTCTACTCTACCCCGCAGCTCTCCATAAACACACAGACAAACGGCGGCCAGCTCAGCCCCAACACCCTCGCCTCGTTCCAGCAGCAGCAGCAACAACAGCAACAGCAGCAGGCCCAGCAGCAGGCGCAGAGCCCCGTTGCAGGCTCGCCGTACACCCAGTTCAATCCCTACAACATGCTCGCCATGTCCTCCTTCCAGTACCCGCAGCAGAACTTCCAGGTGCGACCAGATCTCTATCTCTGACGACAATCCACTAACTCTCTTCAGGGCGGGCAATTCTCCCCACAGCGCCTGCCGACGCTCAACATCCCCGCCGCGCAAGCCGTCTACACCCCCTCGGCACTCTCGGGCCTCCTCTCCGCCGGCGCCTCCCCCACCGCGGGCCGCACCGTCTACATCGGCAACCTCCCCCCCAGCGCGTCCGTCGACGAGCTCCTCAACCTCGTGCACTTTGGCCCCCTCGAGTCCATCCGCGTCCTCCCCGAAAAGTCCTGCGTCTTCCTCTCCTTCCTCGACGCGCCCACCGCCGCCGCCTTCTTCGCCGACGCGACCCTGCGCAAGCTCACGCTCCACGCGCAGGAGCTCAAGGTCGGCTGGGGCAAGCCGAGCCCCGTCCCCGCGCAGGTCATGCAGGCCATCGCGCAGAGCGGCGCCAGCCGCAACGTCTACCTCGGCGGCCTCGAGGAGGGCCTCACGGAGGAGGCCCTGCGCGACGAGCTCAGCAAGTTCGGCCTCATCGACCAGGTCAAGATCGTGCGCGACAAGAACATCGGCTTCGTGCACTTCCTCAGCATCAGCGTCGCCACCAAGGTCCTTCCCCTCTGCCCTCTTCCCTCCCGTCCGCACTAACACCCCCGATGCAGGTCGTGAACACGCTCCCGACGGACCCCGCGTGGGCCGGCAAGCGCGTCAACTACGGCAAGGACCGCTGCGCGTACGTGCCCAAGTCGCAGCAGGCCGCCGCGCACCAGGCACAGGCCGCCGCCGCGCAGTCGCTCATGCAGTCCTTCGCCTCGCCGCTCAACACGCACGGCCCCTCCTTCGCGTCGCCGCTCAACACCCACGGCCCGAGCTTCGCCTCGCCCGCCTCCGCGCACCCCGGCGGCGGGAACGCGTTCCTCAGCAGCCCCGCGTCGGCGCACCCGAATAACGGCGGCGGGAACCCGATCCTGTC